CGAGAAACAGAGCATCATTAACACGAGTGAAACTCCAAAAAAAAACAGAGACAAAGACATGTCACTACATCCAAAAACCAACACAATCGATTCAAAAACCGAATTATATCTTAACATTGTTTAACTAGACTCGGTTTTTCTATACAATCTGAAAACCAATTTGCATGTCAGATTCACCTAAAACACCAGAATCCAAAACGATGGAAGAAGCTTCTTATAGTCCTCATCTCCTCATTCTTGCTGCTTTGTAAACACTAAAGCAATCTACCTTATAACAAACCAGAAACCTACTTGTTGAAAAACCTAACCGTTGAAACCAAAGATGAAAGCACGGCTCAGTGCTAAGTTGTATGCGATTGTGCCAAAACTAAAGGGGCTTAAACCGCAACAATCAAATTGTATTGGAGCTCTAGCACAAACATGATAATCATCTGCCAGTCTTCTGATAGTTCTTTTCGCACACAAGCATTGAATTTCGCGACTTAAATCATAATATAAAGATGTAGCATTCAGAAGCACTCCACACATCAAGACGCATAACACCAAATTTCTATCGTTTACCACTAACGCAACTGTGTATCTGATCACATGGTCGCATTATTCTATCCAAAAAAGTTTCAGAGATTAGAGGCAAAGAGCAATCAGATTTAGAGAGAAAGAATCATTCACCTGACATTTCAACGTCGGCTCCTGCGGTGGCATGGACAAGTCAAGATTGAAACCAACTTCTTTTATATATTTTTATGGGGATAAAACTCCTAACATTTATGTTGTCTTCTACTATTCTTACATACTGAAATTTGAAACCGCATTTTTGGTAAAGAAATTCGAAACTACATTATGTAGTTTAGTTTATACGCGATTGATAAATTTATTACACATACATAAACGTTGTAATAAATACCGTTGCCATCGTTTTGGACACAGAAATACAGACATCCTTCTACTTTGCCATGGTTTCAGAGTCTTGAAACGTCGGAATGTTTCCTCGCTGCATGTTATGTCGTTGTGCCTGGTAATGATGTTCCATCAATCCAATCTTTGTTTCGTCCGATAAGTCTATCAGATCCCTGCAAAGGATCTCAAGCATGGTTTGTAGGTGTGGGTCCCTCTTAACCCCTACAATGGCGCGTGCCCTCTGTTAGAGTCAACCAACCAAAAACTCTGTTTATCAGAAGGATTAAGGTTAATTACAAAGAGCTCACGAAACAGAGAGATTCGAGTGTGGTGGAACTTACTCTGTCCAGAACTTGGGCGATCCAATCCGAACAGGTGGTAAAAGGGAGGGCATCAGCATCTTGGCTTCGAAATCTCTGCATTAAGTCTGTCACCTCCCTACGGAGGGCATAAATAGCAAGGCGTTCGCTTGACTCCTTGGTGGTGGACGAACTGCCCATTCGAAACAAACAAATCACAAAGAATTGTATTATGTTAAATCAAAATTAACGAATACAAAGAATCCTTTCTTACCATTGTCGATGACCGCCAAAGATAGCAGAGGCCAAAGTTCCAAGCTTCTGCACCAAGGACTTGTCTTTCGATTCAAGATCACAAGACCCTGGAAACTGAGCAGAGGATATGGACTTTGCGTTTGGGAACAACTTCCTTGCGTCATCTGATTCTTCAAACGGCTCAGAAGTAGCAAGAGGAGACGACGGTAGACCGGTAGTAGTTTCTTCTGCCATGGCTTTAGCAACTTCATTAGCAAGAACCTGCCTATACAAATAAGCAGCTCTTGAAGTGTACTTAGCCTCAAAGATGTAGTAGTTACTACCATCAATCCATCCATGTTGCTTGAAGAACACCTGAGCGCGGTTGTTGCCACCGAACATCATAGCCATGAGCTGCTCAGGCCTCCATGAGTCTAAACTCGTTGACCTATACCCAAAAACATTAACTTGAGAACGTATTTGGCGGTGTTCCATCCAATAAGACTAAGAACCCGTTTGAAAATGCTATCTGGTCGATGGATATAATAATGTCAGATTTATGAGCATAATCGTATATATCGGACGAAGCTAAGAAGATTAAAGTAAACCTATCAACGTAATGCTACACTTTGAGAAGTCTATAACTATCATCATGTACAACTTAAGCTAGAACAATGCCAAGGAATCAAACTGAATCGGATTAAGATTCAGTGTTCCTCATAGAAAAATCCAAATTTCTATACCTGACGAAGCTGATATGAACACCTGAGATTTCGATGGGCAGATGAACAATCGATGCAGAGAAAAATCCCGTAAGTGATCGATGCCCATGTCGGATTCTTCGCACTACAATCAAAGCAAACCTAAAAATCCAACCAAAAAATCACAATCAAATAGACGATTCTCAAATAGCGAAAACAAATTTGAAAAGAGAAGGGAGAATTCAGAACACCGATAGAGAAATCGAACCTTGTTCTCAGATATTGCTTTGAGTTTTCTGAAGACAATACTTTGGTCGGTCAGATTGTCGAATTCCATCGTAGATGATGTTTATTAGGATTTAGGAGCAAACAAAGGTTAAGAAAAAAACAAAACTGTAGATAATAGATCACCTCCTTGAAGCAAACCTAAACGAATTATATAGAGATGATCAATTTTGGAAATTTTCATATATATATTTTTTTTTCTCAAAAGGAAATCTTCATATGTATATTCTCTGTTTTTTTTTCCGTTTTTTTCTTCTTCAAATCAAATCTGCAAAATCGATAAACCCAGTAGCATTTCCGTTTCCGACTGTAAATATTTAATCTGATAAACTGACGACAATACCCTTAATAAAGTCTAGAAATCACGAAAATGGCATAAAGCTAGTTACAATGTAGAACGACACGTAGTGCGTAATACTGTTACCGAAACGACACGTAGTGCACTTACTGAAAGTTGAAACTCTCTCATGGACTGGTTACACGATGCACAAGGAAGATTTCGATGCTGCTTCATTCACAGATCCGATGCTCTCTTTGCGTTCTTCATCTTCTTCTTCCTCGGTTGTTTGGCTAGGATCATTGTGGTCTCGTCCTCATCGTCAAATTTCAGCAATTTCTTCATACTCGCTCTCTTCCTCTTGTTCGATTTTTGTTTCGGTTTGGTCACAGGTGGAGTAACTTGATCGGAATTGATGATCTGGAGCGAGGTGAGACAGCATTCTTGCCATTTCAGAGCTTCGATGTCTGTTATCACTTCGTCGAGAGTTAGGGAAGATGACGAGATTGCGCTTTGTTTCAGAGTCGAGCGAGAGAGATCTAGTAGATCCAGTGCGTTTACGGCTTCACCTACAATTTTCTGGTAACAAACAAGCCGATTGATGAAGGAAATAAAAAAAAAACAACACAATACGAGAAGCAAAAATCGCAGAGAAATTGTAACTTCCAGAAACTCTTGATGAAATCGGATTTTCAACGAAAAATTCGATTTAGGATAATATAATCACCAAATTAACGGAATCGCGAAGAAATTGTTGCGGAGAATTCCCAGGGGGAAATCGGATTTCAAGCTTTGAAATCGATAAAACCAAATCGTTGTTTCTCGATTACTTACGGATTCAACAACGGAATTTAAGAGATGAGATCGGTGATTGTGTGTTACCTTCTGAGATTTGTGCAGCTTTCGGAAACCGTGGAAATGAAGGATCTACAGAGAACAAAAGCAAAACTCGAAGATTAGAAGATGGAGAATCAGAGATATTATTGAGTAAGGGAAAGTAATTGATCGAGAAACCTGATTGAGGTAAGAGATGGTGAAACCGATGGACTTCCCAGAGACGAAGAAATCAACGTATTCTTCTAGAGACA